AATGCAGAAATGTGAGTGATAATCGAACAATCTGTGTAGAAATAATATTTGTAATAATAATAATTATTATTATAAAACATTCACTAATTAACATAGTTTTCATAGTCAGAGGAGCGCCGAAATTGAAAAGGAATAAGAACAAGTGAATACTACTGGACAAGCAGTAACAAACCAAAAGCATGCGTGATAAAGAAAGAAATCTGAAACAAAAAAATGAATTCAAATGATAGCATGCATAAAATATAATTAAAAATATCAAGAGGCATTCACTTTGGCTTTTATAGTGCTGACGATTTGATCATCTGACACATTAAGCCCAAGTTGTGAGTACAAATTAATGTTAATTCTAATTCAAATTTCTCAAAATACTCTGAGGTCTCATAAGTCATCATTGTATTGTCATTTTAGTCACATAAGACTCGCTTGAAGGTAAATCATTGGTTCATTGTTTATCTTTTCGATAAGTGTTATTTTTCTTCATTTTTGTTACATTTTTATCAATATAAATTGTATTCAATTCAATAAACCTGAGTTTTGTATTGGCAATTAGGAATAAGCTATTGTGATGTTTGATTTTTTCTTGAGAAGTGCTTAGAAATGCAAATAAATCAGCTCGTTTGAGACTAATACGATGTACTAATTACGTGAGGATTTTATACTTTGCGCACAAATCATTATTGAAATAAATATGCTTAGATTGGAGTGTGCTAAATGTTGTCATTTCTACAGTTCATTAGTTAATTTGCTGCTTCAGTCACCTACCACCTTATGATCAAGTGACCACAAATAATAACATGCAAGATCTTTGCATGGTGCTAAACGATACACACAGTTTTATTCCAATATCTTCTAATTCTAACCTCTCCGATTACTTCTAATACCTTTACTACCTCTTCTACTATTGGATTTGAATTGACAATTATATCTCTGTGCTGATGTGGTATGGCGACATGAACTGATGTACTTACGTACGAAGTTCTGCGTTGCAACTGACTGACTGACTGAACTAATCGATCCACTTCCTTTAGGCTTTGCTTCAAGTGGATTTGTTCACGTTTAAACTTATTTAACAGCTCTAAATAAACAAAACATATTGTAAGATTATTGATATAGCTAAACAAGTTAGTGTTGTTTTTTGTGATGTTCAAAGACATGACAATAACTTTAACAGGAAACATTTTACAATTGAATATTGTATGTATAGCTACAGTAAGGACAAGTCAATGTGAAGCGCTCACTGCCTCAAAAATCCCTCACTAATAACTTCTTACATCTTGTGTTTTATACATGAATCTCAATGTGCCCATATGTCGCTTTTCAAAATGGCGGTAATTTTTTTCCAATCTCACAATTATTAGCCAATAGGCTATCTTCAGGCTTTTTGTGTTTATAAAAGTACTTGAGTGCATAGAAAATTGACTTGTTGGAAAAAAAAGTATGGGACATGAGTGTACATTACAAATTTTTGATGGTTCATAGGTGACGTAGAATGTTGAAAAATCAGTGAGGTTAATGTCTGTTTATTCTAGATTTTGATTAGTATCATTATAAACATGATCTGAATATATTTTTACTGAACAATCAATCATGTTTTTGATCTGATTTACGATGGCAAGGCAACCAATTTTCAGTAATAGATTTTATAGGCTCAATATCATACACACATAGTTTTTTGTTAGTAATTTGTAAAATGATTATTCGTTGCCAGATGTTAACTTCTGATAGTTCTTCAGCTCAAAGTAGAGATACCTAATCAATGGAGTCCTATCTTGAGATGGTGGAGAAAACTTGTAGCTCAGGTGGATGATTGTGGTGGTGTTTCGTTCTCTGAGCTGGTTGTTTTGGTTGTGGAGCTTTCATTGTTCTTCTGAACAACATCATTCAGCACAAACTTGAGATAGAAGTGAAGCATTCGAATTTCTCCACGTTTGACCTGTAGCTCGTTCTACTAACCTCGATCTTGATTGGTTGCTGTTGACCTTTGACCTGTCGTTGTTTGCAACTTTGTTTTGATTGCCTCCCCCTTTTGATCTGTTTCTTGATCCTGTGTCACCTATGATTTTCCTGATTGGTTGATAAATTGGGTCAATGTCAATGTGTTTGTTGATTGCTAATTGACCTGAGTGCCAAGCTTCTAAAAATTCTCTCTCCACGTTGTTCTAATCAAATGTGTGTCCATAATTGTCGGTGTGTATTGATATAAGCGAAGCGTTGTCGTGGCGTTTGACTACGTCGTCCACTTTGTCCTATGTAGTGTTTTTCACAGTTTGAGCAATTTATTTTGTAGATGATATTTGGTTTTTCTTCCTTTGTCATTTTGTCCTTTGGTCTACATAGGATTGACTGAAGTGATTCCGTTGGTTTGTGTGCCACACCTATTCCAAATGGTTTCAGTAGTCGTGCCGTATGCTCTGATATGTCTTTGATGTATGGTAGGATGATGCGTTTATTTGTTCCTGTGCTTGATTTCACTCCTGATGATAGTTTTGGTTGATTTTTTTTGATGAAGTTGCGTGGATAGCCGTTCTTGTGGAAGATAGTCATCAGATGTTTTTCCTCGTTTTTTAATGTTTCGTATGTGCTGCAGTGTGTCTTCGCTCTCTTGAACAGAGTTTGTATGCAGTTGATTTTGTGGGTTCTTGGGTTGTTGCTGTCGTAGTTGAGAATTACGTCGGTGTGGGTTGGCTTCCGAAATACTTGAGTTTCTAGTTTTCCTGTGTTAGTTCTGGTGATTAGTACATCCAGGAATGATAGGCTGTTGTTTGATTCCTTTTCCATCGTGAATTTGATGTCATCAAAGACGTTGTTGATCTGATTGTAGATGTTCTCCAGCTCATTCCTTTTGATAATAACGAATGTGTCGTCTACATAGCGAACCCACATTTTTGGCTTGATCACTGGCAGAATCGACGCTTCCAGTCTCTGCATTACCGCTTCGGCGATGAGTCCTGATATTGGTGATCCCATTGGTGTTCCTTTTATTTGTTCGTAGACTCTGTTGTTGAACTGAAGATATGTTGTTAAGCATAGGTCGATGAGTTCAAGCAAACTTTGACTCTGAAGTTTTGTATATTTGTGTAGATTTGTGTCGTTGGTGAGGAGCAGAGAAAGAGTTTCTTTGGCTAAGCTTGGTTCTATTGAGGTAAATAAAGCTGTTACGTCGAAGGATATCATCATTTCGTCGTTGTCAATTTGAATCCGCTTGAGTTTATCCAAGAATTCTGTGGCAGACTTAATGGAGTAGTTGGATTCATCCACCAGATGTTTTAATATCCTTGAGATCTCTCTTGATAAGTTGTAGGTCGGGGTTCCGGGGAGGGATACAATAGGACGTAGTGGGATGTTAGGTTTGTGGAGTTTTGGCCTACCGTAGAATCGTGGAATTGTTGGTCCATTGGATTTCATTCTCCATTGATCTTGTTTTGATATTTGTCCTGTTTTGACAAGCCTATTTAGAGTCCTTGAGATTTGATTGTCCAACTTTTTTATGGGGTTTGTGTCGACTGGTTTATATACGCTTCTGTCCTGAAGTAGCTCTTCGGCTTTCTTGATATATTCCTCCTTGTCCATGATTACTGTTGTGCGTCCTTTGTCCGCTGGAACTATGACTATATCTTCCCTGGTTTTGAGTTTCTTCAGAGCTTTTCGTTGTTGTGCTGTTAGTTGGTTGCAAACAACGACAGGTCAAATGTCAACAACAACCAATCAAGATCGAGGTTAGCAGAACAAGCTACAGGTCGAACGTGGAGAAATTCGAATGCTTCACTTCTATCTCAAGTTTGTGCTGAATGATGTTGTTCAGAAGAACAATGAAAGCTCCACAACCAAAACAACCAGCGCAGCGAACGAAACACCACCACAAGGAGTCCTATCTTCACAATTAAATCACTTCAATTTATTACTTCATTTATCAGTAATATTTTAAACACTTTTAGGCAAAAATTAATCGTATTTTGAGTTGATTATCCGTAAGATGTCGAATGCAAATTTATAAGACCGGTGACATCAACTATTACTGTTGAACAAAAATATTTTAAAAGTAGTGTCTACAATGGGCCAGAGATGTTCTTAGTTATATCATTTCCTTATCTGTGTATCTTAATCATTTTAAAATAAACATTTATTTGTTTTTTCGGTTATCAGCGGTTACGTATGTAGCAAAAGGGCAACGGTCTATCTGAAGCGCTGTGCGATCAACCTCCAGCTACCGAAGAATATGAATTGCAGTACTTTTATAAACATTTTGAATGTCAGTTACACCAAGATTCAAAGTCTATGGAGAATCATATTCAATCGTCCACTAGATTTAAAGTCTACATTATTCTAAACAGTTCAACAATAAAATAAAATAATTCCAAATACTTATTCAATGACAGCCTAGTTTTCATCAAGAACTGAAAGCAGAAATTATTAGTAAACTGAATGTTACTTATTTATGTCTCTCCATCAGTATGCACATAAAATTGTAATTGGAATAAATTGAGGATCTTCAAGTCGCGCGATAACCGTTGAATCGCCCGCCAATTGAAAAGCTAATGACATCCTACTGAAAAATTTAATGGAAGTGAAAGTGTGGTGCGCGCTACTTATAAGTGGTATATGACGCGAGTGAAAACGTAATGTCTGGCAGCAGAAGATGGGGGAAGATCAAGCAAGGAAGGGTGGAAACACAATGGAATTTGTATGAAACGCATAAATAGTGAAATGTCAGAAAATGGACTGATGATGATGGTTCGAAGATTTGCAAATTAACTGTTTACGATATGGTTTTCCTATTTTACTGAGTAACTCTGTAATTTTCGTTAAATACAATTCGGTTGCCCTCACCTGTGTTCTCCTTCACTACAAAAGCTGTATTTGCTGTTCTTATTTAGGAAGTTATACCACAAAGTAAATGCTTGTAAAACCAGTCATGTATGCAAAATTACAGTATATTGTTTTGTTGTCTTAAATGATCTTCTTTGAACATATATAATAAATTACAAAAAAAAATCAACATCTTAAACACAATCAGTTTTATACAAAAAGTCATTTTGTAAACTGGAGTTTGATAAAAATAAATTGTCACTTGGTTGAATATCCAATGGTTCTTTTATTTCGCCATTTTCATTTTGATATTGCACTGTTTCACTGATCTTTATGGCATTTTTACTGAATTGATAATCATGTGATGCATTCTGCGTATATTGATTTGGCTTGCTTAAATTACACGGACTATTTTCAGCACCATTATTATTATTATCAAGATTACACTGTTGACTAATTGGTCCTGAAAACTCCAAATGATCACTCTGAGTCTGATCGTGTTCACTGTGATAAAAGAAGTTATAATCGCGGGAATTAATCTGTCCGTTATTATTATTATTATTATTATTATTATTATTATTATTATTACTATTCAGTGTTGTTGGATTCGGTATGTAGAATTTTCCGTCTTCTCGTTTTAATGGACAAGAATCAAGTGTACATAGATAAGCTGACTGACATCTGAAATGAAGATAAGGAAATAGTTATTAACTTTACTCTCTGACCAACAAATACTAAAAGAAATTAGTATGCTTATGAATAGTATCTAAGTAAGTGAACGATAAGGCATTTAAAACACTATATCTTAAGTACTATATGCAGGTAGCTGTTCTTGCTAAAAAGAGAATAATGAATCACAGTATAAAAGTACCATATAAAATTCAAGATTTGTCATTATATAGTGGTGCAGACTGTTGCGTTTCACTGAAATCATGAGTCAATAAATCTTAGATCACCATTAAAACCCTAGACAGCCGCTTTATCCTACTATGGAACGCACCAGCAGCACACCAAGAAGAGTCTAACCCAAGACCCTAAGTCTCGAATGTGAACACTTAACCTCTTGAGCACTGAAGTGATATCCAAGAGTGCTGATGTCTAACCAGAATCAATCCAAGAAATCGCACGACTTCGTGCATTCTATTCTGTGGGTAACTGACCTACTCCTCTGGTCATGGTTACCCACTAGAAATCTGAGAATCTCCTCACTAGTTAGCACATGATAATTGTTATTACACAGTTAGGGAGGTCAAAACGGCCGTTCAGTGCTGCCAAATTTCTGCCTCAGGTCTAACATTGATCAAACAATGATTTCAATAAAAGATTTGATCGGGCGAAAAATAGTTAAATAATGTAGTTGCAAATGATCCCAAAGTTTCAAAAACTTTAAAAATCAAAGATGATTTGTGAAGTTAATTAATCAACAAAAAAAACGATAGATCTATTAAATTTAAGAATTGATGATCATTTTTTAAATATACTGATTAATTAAAACAATGATTCTATAGGAGGAAGATGAGAATGGCCAACTAAAGAGCCTAGCTTTATGACTTTTTAATATTCTGACAATCAGTAGCCTAAGATCACTTGACGCACCGTAAGAAAGGAGGAAGAAACGTTAGATTTGTGTAATTCTGAGAGAGTATTCGTCATTTTATTAGCTGTCCTCAGCTTAAGTTTCACTTACTGACCAAAATCTTTTTACAGTATAAATGCTTTCCATCATTAAAAGAAAAACAACTAAAATCGTTTGTTCTCCTATCCTATCTATTATTCGTAGCTGATTATTAGAATAACATTGTAGTTTGTAATGAAACGTTTAAGTTTATTTCGGATAATATTTTTTTGATCTTTTGTTAATCTAAAAAGTAAAAAAAAAAGACTTCAAGAAACAAAGGACTGTTGATTTGAAATATGGCGCCATTCATTTCAAACTGTCACTAAATTCAAATTGGTAAAAAAAAAAGAAACATTTTTGTCTCAAAAACAGTATGTGTTTAACTGCTTACAAATTAATGCATATTGGCCTTGTGGCATGAAGTCTCTTCTTTCAAATTATGAATTATGAAAAGAAGAACAATGCATTGATAATAAGTCACGAGTTTACTTGTTCAATTTGTGATTCCTTTTCCTGTATAACGAATACTAATTGATAATAAACAGTCATAATCGACAAAAGTCAAATTTCAAGAGTCCTTTAGTATATGCTTTGTTAATGAAGGAAGCAAAATAACAGTAGGTTTTGTTCTAAAACAATAATAAACTTTCTTTGTCTCTAGACTGGTTCTTATCCTAATTACAATGAGACAAATGAAGTTTCATTGTAAAATAATAGTAAAATTATCTGTGATTAAATATCTCAATTGTTTCTTTTCCACATGTTTTTAATGGTTAATGAAGTTGCATAGAAAATGTTTGTGATTTTATTTCATATCATTGTTCCATGATTATGAAATAACTAAGTGAATGAATTTTTATGGAATGTGGAACGAATATCTGCTACATTTGGTATTCTGTTCAAGTCCATTGAAAAAATATGTTTGTATAAACTGACTGTCAAATTTATACATATGATTAAAATAATGTGAACCAGATTCCTAAAAATTTTTACTATTTCGTGCTGTCTAATGGTTCTACTTCTGTATATGTTTATTTTTTCAAAAATCCTATAGTGTAATTGATCAGAATGCCTGGAAAAATTACCTTTTCATTAATTAATTCAATAAACTTGATTATGAATTTGTTGTTTACACGATAATTTTAAAGACAGTACAGCCATAAACAATTGTATTTAGTCATTGACATGATTGACTGGAGTTTACGTTAAAGTTAACTCTAAGGATAGGAGGTTCATAAGTCAACCCGATTCCTTCACTTAGGTCTTTCTGTAAATTGGGACAATGTCTCATGAGTTCATTTGCAAAGTAGAACGACACTGGCTTAATCCATCACTTGGTTTTAATCTAGACAGCATGGAAGTTACACGTTGGGATACTAAAATCCTGCAGTCATCACCGTTCAATGGTTGTCATGCTGGCGAATCAAAGCCCAGAGCTTCTGTGATGTGTTTACCTCGAAATGGTAGTCAACTTCCGGATCAACCTATAGGCTTCCCTAAACAGCCTAGACCAACTTCGTAGTTCGAGCACGATCCTTCCAGTTTTATTGTGCATCCAGTTTAGTTTAAGACGAAAGTGATTCAACTTGAACTGCGATTACACACTGCCAGTCAAACAATATGTTTATATTATGTGTTAATTACGAGGATCAAGGGCAGTTTTACACTGAGCATTTTAGATGTTAAATAATGTTGAATTTAAGTTAAAAATAAAAATTCATATTACAGGTTCATACTCTTGTAATTTGATTCATGAACTTAAGTGATTTAAACTATGTTTAATCCCCTTCAAGTAATTTCTACTGTGTTGTGTTTGATTTCGGGGTCAGCTTTTACAATGTTATCAATAAAGATCCCATATTGCACTAAACAAATAATATTAACTAAAGCCAAAAATAATAGTAATAATGATAATAATAATAATAGTAAATGTGTCTAAGTTTCCTACTCGGTACCAATCATTAGTTGAATGTCTTTACGACCTAAAATGAATAAAGAATGATAGTTAGTACTCCTAACGTTTATTATATTCTTTTTAGTGGATTGCTTTTTAGAAGAGTGATTATTAAAAATATATGAACTTACGTATTAAAAGATATAGTTATATTACTCTTTTCATGTTCAATGACAGGGAGGAGAGAGTTTGTGATTCGTTCTTGACTACATTGTGATTCCTGTTCACTATCAATAAAGACAGTTGGTGTCAATGAAGAAGAAGTAGACAGACTTTCACATGTGTCATTTGCATTCATACTTTTTTCATGGAAATGTGTTACTGCTATTTGTTTAGGCATTGAAGGTAAATTAGGAGTAGTTAAATCACCAAATGCCATATCACTGGCATTGGTTTGATGGTATTCATGAGTACTAACTATTTTATTCGGTGAATTGTGCAAGGATGTTTTTGAATTAACTGTACTTTCTGCTTTATCCAACTCGTCTAAAACTGTTATGGTTAAATCTACACCGTCAGGATAATGTCTAAACCAATGCATTGCTGTTAATTGATCCCAACCATGTACACAGTTGCCGTTTAATGATACGACTTGCTGACCAGATCGTAAACCAACACGTGATGCCGGTGAATTCGGTAGAACAACATCGATTCGAAGTTCCTGTTGGGTAAAAGTTCAGACATATAACGTTTTTCAGTTTTATTTATTATAAAATAATTACTTGAAACAAATTGCAAATTAAACTCATTTATGAGATTAATAATCGAAAAAGATACAAATACTATTGAAGCTAAAGAATATGAATGCGATTATTACTATAGTCTAACTTTTGTTTGATAGTCAAACAGCAAATGAGAAAAAGAAGAATTAATTTAGTTAATGTCGACAGTAATATATTAATATGTATGTCAGCGAAAAGCAATTAAACGACATAAAAGAAGGATTGTGTATTTGTGACATTAGTATTGAAGATTAATTTATAGATAATACACTTTGAGTGTTTTAATGAGTTGGTTGCCTTACCAAAAGATAATGCTGTACTTTATAGAAGATGGTTTCGGGATGAATTCCTGATGTTAGAATTTGCAATTGTAGTTAGTGAAACTCAACCATGTAAGTCATAGAGTATTGAATAAGAAATTACAATAATTGAAAAGAACATCTTGAATTCCTTGATGGACAGTCAACTTACTGGTTTGATGACTAAAAGTTTGTCGAAGGACCTAGAAGTCTTTGATTTAATTGTTATACTGTGTTGGGGATGTGAGACCCCGAAAACTCACTTGAAAAAGGTCCCAATTTTGTAATTTTATTTCTGAAACTTTGAACTTTATGTTTTCGCGCTAAAGACGTTTATTTTGACCTTCAGAATGCATTTCCCACTCGGGAAATCCTTAGCTGGCATTGGCTCATGGATTGTTTTAGTACGCTATTTTGTGGCTCTCACTTAGGGCGTTTTATCATTGTATGAATAAGCTTGAGTTATGTGCTTGTTAACTTTGTATTTTCTGTGTGCCTGTGGAATACACTCCTCACCGTCTTATCAAGACTTCGTCCCCTAGTTAGCGGGGCGTTAGGACGATCGTATTATAATAACCTATCGTATCACAGAACCATAGATCCCCGTTCCGTTTACCAAGCAAGATGAACTCACAATAGTTTTGAGAACAACAATTCAAGCCGTGCAACAGTTTCAGCCCATCTAGCAAATGAACTATTGATGAGAATCTTGTAGTTTTGTAAAATGTGAATACCAAAATTAAGTTCCAACTATTTTGTGGTCACTTCCTTCATATATGTAGAAATGTTACAATGTTCAACAATCGTTTGACCGACCTAAAAGTGACTGTATAAACTCAAAAAAATTATCTGCATCATGTAGTCAGTATGTTTTTACTGGACCAAGCTGTATATACAGAAATTCATCTGCACTGTGATGTACTGACAAATTATAGTCTATCTTGCAAATACACTTGATTTTGTCTCATCAAGACAAGTTTTTCATTGATTGACAGTGATAATTTAACCAAGACGAGTGAATCGAACAGCACTTTAAACCAATAAAGTGAGATCATGTCCGCATGAATTATTTTCCCTTTAAACATGCACATCACTATTTGGTAGTTTATAATTTTAATTATGCGCAAAAATTCATTGAAATGTTTGACAGCACATCACATGAATTTTCACTGTGAAACGAGAAACGAAAACAAACAAAAAAAAACACAGAAATAGAAAACTTTGTTAAAAGTATTTATACACAACAACACAGACACACCACAATGTCATTGCTCTTAAGCACTACGCGATATCAATGCATGTATATGTTAAATGCCGGATCAGTTTCTATTACTTAAAATATTTACGTTGACCATAACTTATTATCTAAACACATCTCGTTTTAATGAATATTCTTTTTCCTTTTTCTGAGATTTTTTCAAGTTGTACACTGTACAATGACTTTATTTTCATCTCATTTAAATTGAAAAATGATGCACAAAAAACTTGCTGCAACAAATGTTTAAAACAAATGACAATATTTATCATTTCCTCTTCTAATATTATTTAAAATTTCAAGAAAGTTTCAACGAGAATTGTTTCTATTTCCTTATAAATAATTTCGAGAAAAAAATATTTTAAGACAAATGATAAAACACACTTTTATAGCTAGAAATTATGACAGGAAATGTAGTGTGATGGAGAAGGTGAATGAATTATTTTCCGTAATCAATGTGTAAATTCATTCTTGTCAAATCCATTTCATTGGAAATCTTTACAGAATTTTTACATTAACAGTAGCTGATAAATCGCTTGTCTGAATGTAATCGCTTTCTAGTTAGTCTTGAATTCTTCAGCTACGCTCAGATTGTGACGAAATCTGACCAAAAACTTAATTTCTGTTTCACGTAACTACATCATCAAAAACCAATGTAAGTAATGTGTTAAGTTATAAACCTATAAACTATATTTCTTCTTGTTCTTGCAAAGTCAGAGAGGTCCCTTTCTGTATACATGTAAATATTACCTGTTAACCTAGTTTACTTATTTCATTAGCTAGTTGAAAAAATATTCTATAAATCAGTCTAACTCCATTTGATAAAACTTTTGATCACTTTTATGCAATCATCAGTATGAAAAACACTTCTACCGACTCAAGTTCATAATTCCATATATTGACCAATTCTCAACCCAGAAAATAAGATTTCTAATATAAGTAATTGTAGAGTTTTCGTTTTATCCGAAAACTGGTTGTGTGGCTGACGCTACACTCACAAAGTTGCATATAAGCAGTAAACAGCGGAGCATTGCCCAGAAAATGCTGCCAAAAAGAGGAGTGTTTGGGGATCGGAAGTCATGTCGTGATCAGAGTATAATGAAGACCAGAAGAGATGTGAGAGAAGACGGTTAAATACCTGCTTCCATCAGTATTGCCTCCAAATATATATATATATATATATATATATATATATATATATATATATATATATTCCAACTTGCTTTGACTTTTTTGTACATTATAAAAATACTGTGCAGATGTTAATAAACCATTAACACTTGAGATTATTTACTACCCGATAACGAGTTACAGGTTCTTTGAAACCAGTTGCATGGAAGAAAGTTTGACGAGAAATCAACTACTCAAAGTTTAGAGCATAAACAGAAAAAAATAATTGTTTCATAACACTGTTGTTAACCATTTTAAATTGTTTCCGTGGAATATTACCGTTTAAAAATGTCTGTACACAGACTGAAATCCATTTGGTCGATAAAAGTAATCGGTTGTCATTTAACAACGTGCAGTTAGGTTTGTCAAACCTAATTGCAATTTTTAAGTTTTTCTAATAAATAGTTTTATCCATATTTGACTTCCACATTTTGGTTACTTAGCATAATCTATGTCGGTCGCAAGTCGCATACACAATTTAGTTAGATTTTTTTATAAGGTAAACACTCTTTAAACTTATTCAATGCATTATTTTTGTTTAAAATTTGTGGTTAATACAATCAAAATGCTAGAATGACAGTTGAAGCTTTCAGGTTGTATGTAATGTGTTGATAAATGAATGTTCAAATATTATCCAGGTTAGAAAATCTGTTTGAAGTAGTAGTCACATAATCGTGATTAAGATTTCTCAAACTGAATGTATCATAAAAACTGGAACTATCATGAAGTAGCTGGCAATAGAAATTGCTGTGCAAGAGCACTTTCTTATATGTTTTATTTGATTACGAATTATTATTTTTTTCTTTTCATTGTAAATTTATGACTGACAAACTAAAATGGACAACTGTTAACTTCATTCTCAATTAGAAATCCATGTGTTTTTCTTAAAAAAAAATAACAACAATAACAGCAACCACAACAACAATCAGTAGGGTGCTATTGTAATGAAGTTGAACATAAAATTCAAGAGCACACTATAACATGCTTGCAATGAATGCTAATTTATGATACAAAATTATGAAGAAACATTTTTTTTTATTGTGAATATTAGACTTACATTTTTATAACTTTTCAATTTTATTCCAATTTTCCCGTTTTGTTTACGAATAACAGTTGTAAGAAGATAAGATGTGAATGGCCTGAAATAATTATGAATTGTACAAAAGTAGAATACTGGCTAATTAACACTATGAGAGTATATAAAAAGGGAGGTCATATGAATAAAGATAATGAGTAATATTGTGTAACATCTTGCGTAATCTCTACTTGTCTGAAAAACAAAAGTCAGTGTAGGATTTAATTTGTCCTACAGATGAACTTCTAGAACTATAAACGCAATATTGGCGAGCACAGAGTCTATGGGAAAGCTATAGTCAATAAGGAAAGTACAATTATTATCAAGTAAGACGAGCAAACGTACCGACCAATATAGCGTGTCCTATGGAAATGAGTCAAGTTATGAGTCACATCAATATAATAAGATAATAATGTCAATCAATTTGTAGGTCATTTACAACATAGAAAGTTTACAGACACGTCAGATCAGATCACGTGGTGGGTACTCAAACCAAAATTTGATTGGTTAGTTATGACATAACTACAATTAGTTATGGAAATAACTAACAGTTAGTTCATATAGTTTTATGTTAGTTGTTTTTAAATACACAAATTCCCGGTTGTTCGAGAGAAATTCTAAAAATTCAACTTGTCATTTGCAGCTTTAAACATAGTCAAACTCAAAAGCATATTCATTTTGAGAGTACTTATAGTTCAACTTCAAAAGATTATACATTGATAACTCTTTGGTTTGGATTTCTACAAGTACTGCAGAATACATATCAGATAACTTAGTTAATGTTCGATGTTATGCAACGAAAAAATGCTTATTGTTTCTGATAGTTTTTTTTATAGCATATTACTCTTTACCACCTGGTATGATACTACTGACTTAAACTCCACCTAAGATCAATGAAGTCAACTAACTTGATGTAAAAAATTACAAATACACAGCATTTTAGTTTTTATCAATCGTAAATGGTTTTTGACTTTTGTATTCGAACAATTTTTAATACTTAGAAGAGTGTGATCAAAAACTTCAGGATAAAACGTTAACAAGTGAATTCATTTCAGTAGTACTGCGACTTTAATGTCTTTTCGGGCCTTGAAAGTCAACGTCTTAAGTTAAAATCGGGTGTATTTATCTATAAAGACCAAGGAAGATAAATGACTGAATAAGAACTGCATAAAATGTATCGTCACTGAAAACTTGTAGAAGCTGCATTTGATGGTGACAATTGTTTCAAACATGTTCAAAAAGACTCCGTTAGGTTCTCGATCACTTTGTCACGATGAAAGAAGATGATGTACGGGTACTAGTTTTATTCACTTGATTCCATAAGGAGATTCAGTTATGGCTAGTAGAAATTTCAGTGTAAACTACTCTGACATTCTATGACATAAATTTCAACTGATGGAATTAGTAACAATATGTCTCACTGTCTATACTTTGTTGTATAATCTCACATTTCTATTATGTATTCAGAAATATTCACTCTAAATAGATGGTGTTAACTTCCATCTCCGGTGCTGACGGTCATTTCGACCGAAAGCATTCATTAGGCTTAGACAGGAAAATCGATATTTCTTCTGTACATTATCTTTACCTCGTGAAACATGGAAAAATATGTGAAAATCTTCAATAACTAAAGTAATGATCAATTTAATGACAGTATGTATTCATGGTTTCATTAGATGGAAATGTTCATTATTCACTTAGCTATACGCAATGCCTACTAAAAGTCAAACTATAACGAAAATATCACAAACAGAATATCAAAACATTCATTGTAAATGAATCCTAGTTTGTCCTAATACAAATCAGAAAACTCCGCTGTTTTATCAATGGAAATCAAAGATTGTTATATTCAATTAATGCTGAATATTTCTTCTATATGAGTTAACATTTTCTGTCCAAATGTTAATTCGGTCTAATCGAGAAAGAGCTAACTAATAAGATAATGAAACTAAGTATTGTGATTGTTGATTATCAGTGTAAAATCAGTGATATAAGACTAAATCACAAAAATTTCAAGAACTGACATCCTGTTCATTGAGATTTGCAAAAACATCCATGACATTTTGTTAAACAATTTACACAAAATTAAGAACTAATTAGATAAAATTTCGAATGTATTTATTCTAGTAAGCAAGAATGATACACTGTTTATGGGTGATTTCAAGGTATCATTATCCTAGTCAAACAGTTAACATTCGAAAATGTAGTCTTATTAAGGCAGTTACAAACAGATGCAATAAATTAGATATGTACGTGAAAAAAATATTAGAAATTCTTGTGGTGGTGGTTGGTTCTCTGAGCTAGATGTTTTTATTGTGGAGCTTTCATTGTTCTTCTGAACAACATCATCAACACAAACCAAATAGAAACTTCAGAAGACTTCTATCTGAAGTTTGTGCTGATGATGTTATTGTTCAGAAGAACAATGAAAGCTCCACAACCAAAACATTCTGCTCAGAGAACCAAACACCACCACCACCACCACCACAATCATCCACCTGAACTACAAATTTTCTCCACCATTAAAAATTCTACATCGACTTTATACTACTTGAGACGAGATATGTAATGAAATGTTACGTCGGTTGTATGACAAGAATCATGCGTTATTCAGTTAAATGATGACTAGATGCACAAAAGAAAATGGTGGTTCGTTCATTACGTAGTTACAACTCCCATTAACTATTTTCTTTTATTAAAATTGACATTTATTAAAACGATTGTTTTAAATTTGATGCGGACTTGTAAGGTTAATTTGTTTTTCAACTAATCTAGCTTATGAACAGTTTTTTTATTTTGGAAAATAACTCAATTTTATCTCTACATAACTTGCATTTTATCATTTAGAGTTGAGAAAACTTTTAATCGAATCGCCTATAGTGTTGCATATAAAGTTGACCGATCAAATGTTTCGCTGATTCATTCCAGTCAGCAAATTTCATTTTAAACAATCTAGTCTGTTAAAATTAAATGTGATATGGTAGTAGGTTTGTTAACTACACCATTTTTGTTTCCTTAATATTTAAGCGTATTTCTCATGGAAACATAACACGTTCTTTTTATGATCAAAATGAACTGATTATGTACAATGTCATGATGTTGCTTTTATCGCATAAAAGATAAACAGATTACGAGTTGACAACTATTCAGTCACTTGAAACAACTGATTAATAATGGGTTTCTTCTTTATAAATCATAAGAAAAGTTGTCGAGCATGCAACATTAACGATAAAACAAGCACACAAAAGCATAACTAATTCCATTCAATGAATAAGGAAAGACAATACATGATATACAAATTCCCTCATGTACGCATAGAAATTGTTTTCTCATTGCTAGTTGTTATGTTCGTCACCAGGTATACCTAAAGCTATTACGAGTTCACCTTAGTTGATAAACGTGAACGAGACAATTACCAGCGTCCAGATAGGCTACCTTGAACCCCAAGCTGTAACAGAAGGCTTTGTAAGCGTAGAAAGTAGATTCTACAAACACCCAGCAATCACAATACAATCAAGCACACAACTCTCGTATATTTATACATCATAGAAACGTCCTTGGGATAGTTAAGAAAATAGCGCACTAAAATACACAGCAGCCAATCACAGCCATGGATTTTCCTGGTAGGAAATGAAATCTCAGGGTCAACTGATCAGCCCATGCTCGCAAACGTGAAATCTAAAATAAGGCATTTATCAAGCGAATTTTGGGGATCTAACATCCCCAACACTAGTGGAACTTTCCAATCTGTTCATTTGTGTTCATTACCTTTACTACAGTTAACAGATATACTTCCTGTTGTATGTAAGATTTAAATGATCCTTCGGTTAAAAAAAGATAATCGGTATTTACAAATTCGCTCAGTGTATAACATTTTCCTGTGATTATTCAGTTTGACTAGTGAATATGTAATTTACTTGAACGTCTAACTTTTAGACCACTGAGTCGGTTGTTAATGTCTAACTTGAATCATTCATAATATTCTGCAGCATACATTTCTTCCGCATAGTAGATAATTCGAACAACACAATAGTAGATAATTATCGCCTAGTCATGTACTAATTTCAATTACGTTTATTTTTATTCCCTTTGAACATTTTAAAAACAGTTAAGCGGTTCGAATTGAGAACAACCTTTTTCGTCTTTAGTAAAAAATAAAAAAAGAAAAATCTAATTCACATACAATGTATTTTTCGACAACTGATTTTCTCTTAAGGCTGATGTTTGCTTGTCGTACTCATAAATACAAACATTTTCAGTATGAAAATTAGTTGTTTCCATTTAGTTTCTATTTGTGAACATTTTTTTTTCCGCAAAAAAAAAAAATAATCAAAATTTGAAGAAACAAAAAACACACTTATTAATCTTTCTTTAAATATCTCATTAAGCGCAAATCGATTAAGAAATAACGAATTAATAACATTATTTTCATCAACTAACATGCATTAGAGAGAATTAAAAAAAAATGGAAAGCTTTTAATTTTGCTGATTGTTCGCCGATTATTTAAAAAATGCGCGAGTCTTTGAGTAAAGAAATTAGAATAACTAAAAACAATAAAAAAAATAAACGTCTGTATTTATGCTTTAGAAAATAATTCGAATGGAACGTTTTGTTTTGAAGGTACTTAGGGTAATAGTAGTAGTAAGTAGTGATTTACCTAGTGTTTTGTTTTCTAAGCTGTATCGATTGTGTTACAGATTGAATCACTGGACTAGATGTCAGAACATCCAATATTTGCAATTGATGAATGACTACCTGCTCCATAAATAACTTGCATTGACTACACCCAGTGAACGACAAAAGTCAGTATTCCACGTATAATACAAAGGTTTTCTTTGAATGTTTAATGGCTTAGGCACAGCTAAAATTGAACGAGATGGGAGTATCATTGTTTTTCAGGATCACGAACATAGCTTTTTGACAAGTGTTATCTGGTCAAACCTTAAACATAGACATTCTATCCACTCATCATAGAGTTGTGAAGATTGTTATTTTTTATTGACACCATGAATCAATCGATGATAAACCAGCAGTAGAAACCTGCAAGCACTGGATGTCCATTTCGTCATAGTGTGCGACTTCAGCAGTGAATCTCCACTACCCTCGCTCACGAGGATCGAATTCAAGGCCTCGCGTACGCTTAACCCCCAGACCACTGACTTGGCTTCCAACGGCCACGACCACTGGAGTTATACGATGATGGGTGTTGGCAGGAACTACAGAAGACAGTAGGTGAGGTTAGATAAAGGCTTAGATTGATCATTTTAGTGATTAACACCGTTGAATGACGGCTTAGTGGTCGAGAGTTTAAGGGTTCTTGTGCGAGATTAAAAGTCCTGGTTCCGATTCTTGCGAGCAGAGGTTGTGGATACGCACTGCTGAAGTCCCATACCATGACGAAACGACCGTCCAGTGCATCCAGATTTCTAATGCTGGTCTAACAACGATTGATTAATGATGTTAATGGAAATGCTATCAACTGGCTTTAGCCATTCTGAATAAAAACAATTAAAAATCACTACGAACACCTAAAAGTAGTCGATGAATCCATTGCTTTTTTTCCCAAATTGTCTTACATCTACTATCGTGGAATGTATTAAAGCCGAAAGTTTCATAAGTTCTCGAATTCCATTAGTATTATTTATCGTAACAAATATTTTTCGTTGAAATATTATTTATAAATCTTTATAGATTTTAGGTCACGAACCATTTATTCCCTTAACTATCAGCAAAACGTAAATTTTGGTAGTTATAATCTGCAAGTAAGTGGTTCTTAATTATGAAAGTTGATGAAGAAAATTAACGTGACCATTGATTTAATGAAACAGATTAGTTCAAAGTAAATAAACTTGACTTAGCAATGATAACGACAAGCTTGAGTTGGGAATATGTTTATAGTACAACTACACACTTCCAGATTTACATGTCGAGAGTACGAATGTCGTTCAGAAAGCCGGCAAAATTTCCACCTGAGCTAATAATTTTTTTCACTAATTTTAATGCTGGCAGGTGCTTCATCTGCTAATCACTTATGAGGGTTCATATTCATGATTATCCTTGAATAAATGCATATAAAACTGTTAGCAAATGTGTAAAGTCCTTTTCCGAAAAAACGAAATGTGAAAAATAACAAAACATTAAAACAACAGATTGACTTGCTGTTGACCTAATTGGAACTTTCAACTTATCCCCCAAAAACCAGAATATCCCGTTTCTGATCAGAATAACAACTTCGTCAAACAATTGGTTACTGACTGATCTACCAGACGAAGAAAACATTTAGTTTTTCTACACATTTGAAATCATCAACCAATTATTGTTAGACAACCTGGAAGCATTGGACGGCCGTTTCGTCCTGGTATGGGACTCATCAGCAGTGCGCATCCACGAATCCTGCACCTCACAGGATTCGAACCCGAGACCTTCGGTATTGTGAGCGAACGCCCAACCATCGGACCACTGGGCAAGCATCCAACGGTATTAATGTCTAACTCTGATTGATCTAGGGATTTTGCGCGACCTCACCCATTTGTCTTTGGTAGTTACTGCCTACACCCTACAGGGTTCAACAGAAAGTACAATCTGTAAAACTTTTGGACCAGTGAGTATCGTCACTGTAAAGAGAAGTGACTTGAAAAGGCCCGATATTTAATTACATACTAGGAACTTTCCTCAAACTTAACGACAACACACATTTCGCGTATAGCAAAGCCTAGTAGCTGATAAAAATAAACACTTATCATTAGAAATCTATTGTCGTTTTCAATCCAGTCACAAGTTGGGGAAAAAAAAAGAGAAATATCTCTGAATGTTTTCACTCCAATGAATATGATTAGTAATTTTTCAAATCAATAAATAAATAAATAAATTATTTATTCAGATTGATCAGATTTGGCTAAACATTGGTGTTACTTTTTTGTCGGTATGATAAATTTATTTTTTTTCACAATGTACTTCTCCAGTTTTAATTTGTTTTCATTCTTCATTAGAGAAAAGAAAGAAACTTTCTAATTAGCTTTCTGTGTACATAATTACTCTTTTATTGACGAAGTTGCTTTTCTGTAGTATTGTTCAAGTCTGGAGGTTAATTAAAAAGATAATCCAAGTTTGTTTGAGGCTTTTTTTTTTTTCACAAACTGTCAAAGCAAAATGTTTGAATGTTGATTGGAAATAATATTATGAATGTTCATTCACAGTACTTATGATAACTTGACCACAATACCTAGAGTACATGAATAAGTGGTAAGAATATTTTGGTTGGAGTTCATGTGACCCAGTAAAGCAGAAATTATTTATAAGACTAACATATATGGAATATAACCTTATAGATTCATCCATAGCTTTTACAAACACACAATAACACTTATTTGGATGTCCCATAGGGCCATGACTAGTCTATTTTAAGAACAAGCATTTAATTATTTAATTACATTTCTGAATGATTAGCTTATGCAGCCTCTACATGAAAAGTCTAATTGTAAACATTACGGATGTAAAAGATTACATCAGACTTATTAAACTTCAAGTCAGCTGTTTCGAAAATTTCTATAATATTATTATTATTTCTACAATATTATTATTATTATTATCTTACTCAACAAGTCCTTTTACAATAAATTACTGATCCTTTAAATAAAACATGTCGATTACTCTACAACTGAAGTGGAGTAATCTGCCCATTTTGATTCGGTTGATCTCATTTTTACAGTTAACTAACTAGTTAATCCGAGCTACTGTTTGTTTTTAGACTACAACAAAGCATTTGATAATGTGGACAGGACGACATTATAAAGACTTCTAAGTACCTGAGATAGTCAATATCATATGGAATTGTGCACGGCGGATGGCTCACAGATCCATTCCAACTGAAGACCTGTGTCAGACAAGGTTACTTACTCTCGCCCTTTCTCTTTCTTCTGGTGGTCGGCTGGATGATGAAGATGTTAACAAATCAGCGGTAGCATGTAATGCAATGGACCTCTCCGATGCAGCTGGGCGATTCGGACTTCTCAGATAAGTAAGCTGTTCTATCCTATGAACAGCAACAAGTGTAGGAGAAGAGAGCCAGTGTAACAACAGCCTCTGCAGCAGTAGATCTCAATATACACAAGGGAAAAAGCAGCAACAAAAGCATATTTAACGGAGAAGCATTAGAAGATGTAGAAACCTTTACATACCTAGGCAGCACCATAAATACAGAAGATGGATCTGATGTAGATCTAAAGAAACGAATCGGTCAAGAAAGTGCAGCACTTCAAAAATTGAAGAACATATTGAACTCAAAACAACCATCAACCTACACGAAAGTCACAATTTCCAATATGAACGTCAAAACCGTTCTATTGTATGGGTCGGAAAGTTGAAAAACTACAAAAGCCAACAAGTCCGAAGACACAGGTGTTTATTGACAGTTGTCTATGCAAATTAATGCAGATCTATTGGTCAGATAACATCAGTAACAACCTACTGTTGGAGAAAACAAACCAGGTTCGTCCAGCTGAGGAGGAAATCAAGAAAAATCGCTGGAGGTGGATGGGACACACATTGAGGAAAACACCTAACTGTGTCACAAGACAAGCTCTAACTTGGAATCCTAAAGGCGAAAGGAAAGGAGGAAGATCGCAGACCAAACAGAGTGGGGAATCGGAAAAAAGATGAAAAGAATGAACAGCACAAAAGCAGAACTGGAAAGAAAGGCCCTGGACAGACTCGTTTGGAGAATGCTGGTCGGCGGTCCATAATACATTAGTGGTAACAGGGGTACGTAGGTAAGTAAGTTAGTTAGTAATCTTTGTTTTGTGGTATACAGGTTAGTGTTTTTTGCTCCCGATAGCCTATCAACTTGTATTTTTACACTTTTGCTAAGAACGGGGAAGAAAAACAGTATTACAGTAAGAAATAAGGAAGTTATTTGAACTTAACTTTATGGTAATAAATCACCGTAAGTTAAATGTTCATTCTAAATTATCACAAACACGTTTATGCTTCATTCCAAGTTCTGTTTAGAAAGTAATTTTGTAGAGAAAATATTTATTTTCAAAATTCTATAAAGTATGTTATTTGTAAGGAAAAGTTCAGTGTGGTTTAAGAATTACTCACTGTTCAAAATGATAACTAAAACAGAGAAAAATCTCTCTGTGTACTAAGTGCTAAAGTGAAAGGTATATCTTTATAATTCTAAAAAAATCATTAACCCTTCTAATATTTCAGACATCTTAAAACAAAACATACAAGTGTGCTCAGTATCAGTGACAACTAAGATAGCCTAAAGCAGCTGTCAAATGGTCCTTGACTTCCGGTTGTCCGAAAAATTGCTTGTATTGTATTTGAGACATGTAATACTATATATGTACATCTTACTTGCGCCTATCATCCCATAGGTCATCAACTAGTAATCTTTAACCTACTCTGTTGTGGGTTCTCTATTCATATTGTCTTCAAATGCAGTTCATTCCATTGATAGCTGCCTGCGATTGTCGGCACAATGTCTTCTTCGGTTTGCCTTTTTTCCTTTAGCCTTTAGAAAAAGGGAGAGAGATATTCTAGGGTTGATATCGGTCCCTAGCCCGATTTAAGAGAAGGTTTGGACATATGGTCAGCAACTCCACTTCACTGAAAACAAAATTTCTGCTTGTATATATATATATATATATATATATATATATATATATATACATTGTTAAGCACTGTTTACTAACTCCACTTATTAAATATTTGTTTCAAATCTCATTCATTCTGATGCAATAAAAAATTTGTATTTTTAAAAAAGGAATACTTAAAAATAATGGAGCTCACCTGGTTTGATAGTAAAGACATAATGGACCGTTTGATTTTCTTATGTAATTTAATAATTCATCCAGTAGCATTTGATCTGTCTCTAATTCGTTAACGCGAATCAATCGATCACCAACTTTCAGTCCAGCTAGTTGAGCTGGTGATTTCGGAAGTATCATTGCTATATATGTTACCTAAGATGTCCAACAGAAGAAACAGAATAAATCGATTGCTGTAACGTCAGAATAATGGTTTAAACAATATTGGTTTCGAAAATCTGTTAAATTAAGGAATAAGGAATGCTGAAGATATGAAAACAGCTTTCTTGTACATGTAAAAAAATATTTGTCTGTAACAGGATTCCAGAAATCTGTTAAAACAGATATAACTGTCAAATAATGTCTTGAGGTGTCAAGGTTTACGCCTGAGGTGACGTGAATACTCCAACTCACTGCACTTTTTTGAAGTCATGCACTGATCTCAGACAAACATTGAAACTATGGAGGTGCCAGACAGCTGTTACTTTCTAGAATGGGGTTTTTCAACAGTACTGACCCATGAACCCGCATTCTGGGATACAGCCTAGGACCTCTGGACCACAATGTCCAGAACAATCTCTTTAGCTAGCCCATCGTTTCGCTGTCTCAAATGCTTTGCCGAAATTCTATGTCTAGATGGATTTCTAAAATTCAGTTAATCAGCCATCATTCGGACGGCTCTGTGATGACTGAGACAGACAACTTAAGTTTTCTTCACTACAGGAGATCAACAAAAATCTTGGTTCAGCATCATTCTTGAGTCTTTATTTCTCTCAGATAAACTGCTAATCCACAAGAAAAGAGCAGTTTCTTAATTCTCATAAATATCCTTCACCATTCCACTCACTGGGGTTTATCAACTTTCTCCATTATTTAAGTTACATTGCACTTATTGGACACGTTGCGTTTGTGTGGAACAAAATTTTGTAAAATCAAATTCAGTATTTCATTAACTCAATTTATGTTAGTGAACTGTGTAAAAACGAATACTTGTCACCATTTTTATGATAACTATCAATTCTTCTTAAAGTTTATTTTTCACAACAATTGCATTACGCAATACAATAGACTGTTAGCTAACTCGATAAATGTACATGTCATTATTTTAATAAGTCTCATGTACTTTTTAAGTTCTTGTTACAAAACGATGTAATCAAACTACCTAATAATTCCGGTTCGCAATATTTACGTGGTGGTACCTTTGGATTGCGAAATATGGAAACAAAATGACTTCATCATAACAACAATAATTGCAAGATCCTGATGACATCTTAAGTTTTGTTTAATTCATTCATCTTCTGTCGATTATCAACGTTAACAACCAAAGATATTGAAAAGTGGAATACTAAAGTATTTTTAGATACATGTGTTTTGTGCAAGCAAAGATGCTGCAGGCAGGGAATGAATAGGAAATTGATTCATCGTTTATGAATGAATTACAAATGGCCAGTTAGAGCAGTGATAACAACATGGTAAAGCACTAAAAAAAGCACATGAATCTAACTGACAGGGTAAAAGATAAAAGAAAGGTCATATGATACCCAACCAGAATAGGGCGACTCTTAATAAACAGAGTTGCTTAGATCAAAATCTACAGTTTCACTCTGTAATCTATGTGACATACGCCTTATAACATTGCATAAGGCAGCCAGAAATTTCAGTCATCAATGAAAAGTTCGTCAGAAATACGGTACTTTCAATAGTCGTATGTTTTCTCTAGCAGAAAATGTATAGGTACAACATCCCTGTAACAAATTATATTGTCCAGCAGGTATCAGACCAAAGGATTGGGAAAAGTAGAGGCTTTGGTTTCGATCCACCCACATTGTATTTGCCAGTTTAATTGCTACTATGGAGCATGTTGCATTGTCCATACAAGGCGTGCTATTTTCAAACCCGTACGCGAATATTATCCCGTATGGTTGTCTGTAAGTGAATATAAATCAGTCAATAGTTCTATTGTTAAACATTTTATCAACAGAAGTTACAGTCCTTTCTTATTTTGTAGGGTTGATTTTCGACAGGTTTTTATGTATTTTCTATCTTTTTTATACATGACAGGTGAATAATTCTTCTTCGTGTCCCTATTCGTCACATTATTTCCATTCTTACTTACCTTTGACCAATGCAAAATATATTAGACACTTGAGAATGTTTGAACAACTTTCAATACCTTGGTCAATGGTATAACAATCTACTATTATATTATAAATTGTTATGCGTAACCGTTTTAACATAGTAAGCACCGTCACCGAAAGGAACGTCTTCTACACTGAACCCTGGTAATCTTTCAGCCGTTGTATGGCCTAGGGTAATGTGACAATATCCTACCCTTTCTTACGCTTCCTACATTACGTTAAGTTTCTCTCGCCTCCATTTATACTTATCACCTTATGCCTAGATGGAATTTTATTTAATTGACCTTTGCTTAATCTCTATATAAAATGCCTTGACAAGTATGTGTGACGAGATTGTTTGAAATGAATAGCGCTAATGCATCACATTTTTCAGTTCAATTACATCTTCTCACAGTCTTTATTTTACATGAATACAAGAGGTTGGAATTTTAGATTTGTTGTATTTCCTTCGTTAATTACCTTCGTTAATTAAACATTTCTTGAATATAATTGATAAGTCTACAGCTACAGCAATCTTCGTTCACCGAAATAAGATTTACTGTTTATGAAAACCTAACATGAATTTAAGAGACATTAAAGTTTTACATGGCAACACGACGACTGGATAGTAGCAAAAGTACATTTAACAGGTGGAAAAAATAATTTATCAGCTTACGGTTTTATTATTGTGCTCATTATTTACAAACTTCAAGATTATTTCCAGTTAGAAAGCGTGACCAATAAAGATAACTATTTAAAAAGAGTGACATGATACTACTTTGGAACAATAACATTCTTTATCAGCATGAACTGAATTTAGTAATGTTAAAAGACTCCAATGTAATGGTCTTAAGTTATTGTAATTAACACTGAACTTTGAAGGTTCTAAGTATACTGCTGTGTTTAATTGTGACAGCATAATGCTGAGTAGCCTTAATCTAGATCTCAATATTCAGCCACCTTAATAATGATATCAATTAGGGACGAAAATTTCACCTGAAAAATAAGTGGTTCATTAATTTTTCAGTGCGCAATGTCTCCCTCTTAGTTATATTTCTAATCAAAGTTACAAAGTGTTAATCCAAGGTTTATTACAAATCTGTTATATTGTTTAGTATTAATGATCCTTGATATCATTCATTAGGTTTATCCTCTCTAGTTGAATATGCCTAAGTATACATAAAAATTCCTATCTTTCAATTAAATATGTCATTTTAATGGTTACTGAACCATGTGTAACTCCCAAAGTTTGTTTTATTTTGGTTTGAAAATACTGTAACAATTCTCACTTTATATATCCTACATAATTAATCTTGAAGCAGTCATTTCCCACGGTAAATACTTTCATAGTACGATATGAAGCTGTTATTTAACTTTTCAAATACGTTTACGAAAATCCAGTCAAAGAGAATGAAACTACTGTTAAGCCGGTTAAGCAAAAATATATTCAGCGCAAAAAAAACTCACTTGTTTTACACCTTTGGTTCTTTCCAGCCTCATACCAAAACGTTCTGTTGTATCATGACGTAGTAGGACAACTTTCCTGTAAGAATCGTTTCGATCAATGAAATTGCTATGTTGAGCTGACGGATCAAATATGCCGGATATTGCTGTTGTTACTGTCATATTATTATTAAAATCATTGGTAATGTTGTTGTGAGTTTGTTTTATGATTGGTTGCGTTCCTTGTGAAATTTCATTAGTGTATGTTAGATTTCGATGAATGTTCAAGTGTTCATCAATTTTCAACTGTGATGTATAGTTAGAATTTAAACTGTCATCATTATTACTACTGGTATTGATTAATTGATTTTCAATAGACTCATTGAATATTGCCAAATCAGAATAACTTGGTGGTGGTGTTTCCACGCGTTTGACTCCTTCGCAATGAGCTGTATTCAAATAATGATTTGGATGGCATTCGACTAAATTATTTGCTTCCTGTAAAACAATCAGGAAAAAAAGTCATTGCTTACAATTATAGCTAACCACATACACGGGGAACTAATTTCAGCGACTATTAAGGCCGTTTCCTACCTTTTTTCTATTTCCAGGGATAGTTTATTCTTATCTATTTACGTCATAGCTAAAACGTATCCACATTTTTTTTGTTTGTGTTCAGTATTCTTAACTCGCAGTGTGAACTCATCACATCTAGTTAGTTTAAGAATGAAGAAAAACGTTTGAGTGTAATGCTTTTCTTCCAAAATTTCTCGTGAACACTTATTTCAAATCAATGAGCACTGAGGAGTTGATGAGTAGCCCCGTATATCTTCTTTTTAATCTCAATTCCACATTCATCCATCTTAAAACTTGCAGATTATGCAATACAAATATTCTTTTCAAATCGATTTAACTCGGTTTTAAGTAACTGAACTTTTCAAATATATTGGTTCCCTGTGACACGCTTAGTGCAACGTGTTGACTTAAGGCCATAAAAATATTTTTCACCATTCTTCATTATCATCAAGTTTCAGTATAAATGTCTGCAAAAATATTTTACAGTGATTGAAAACTGGCTTACTGAATCTTGAAAACACAAGGATTAAAAGTGTAGCATGGATTTAAAATCCCAAACGACATATTTGGCGAACAATAAACTCATAGTATTTCATTAGCTTATATTTTGTTTAAATAAACTGATTCGAAATATGGTCAAACTTGATGATTTAACAAACAAACCGTTTATTAGGACACAATAGATTGTCTGAATTATGGATGTGATATGCTTTAAATCAAACAGTTTCTATCAATAGTTAGATGGATTAAGTTTAATTCATATTCTAACAAATAGAATTTGATCATATTATAACTTTTTGTACAAAAAGCTACTGAAAGCTGAGCAATGGCTTGTAAAAAAAAGTAGAAATTCCAAATTTCGGCATCTCATTTTTTATAACCACAGAAAATTTCACTCAGGTACAGTAAATTAATTCAACTTTAAGGTTTTATGAAGATGGAGTAAAATAGCTCAGGAATATCTAATTAATTCATCAAATCTTGTGTAAACAACGTCATTCACGCTTTCTTTTGAATTTTGTACATCAAAAGTGAATAAGACTTTAAAAATGGTATGCAACTTAATCTATTATTCAGTTTAACTTAAAAAAAAACTATTTATAAAAAAATTATAATGTGAATAGGAGTATGTTGAAAATTACTACGCTTTGTGTGAAAATGAGTTCCAGTTTATAAATAGAGATTTTCAGTTTGGTAATTCATTATGATCTAGCAGTCTGCAGATCGACAGAAAATTACTTGCAGCAGCCATCATATTATGATTCAAATCTGGATAGGAAATTTCGTGAGGCGGTTTACAGGAAGATGGCATCCTCAAACCTTTATAACAAACACTCACAAATATTGTTCTTGGTTTAGCAAGTAGTAAGAAGCTTAAGAAATAAGAAAATCCATCTTGAAATAACGAGTAGTAAAGTTCGGTTAAGTATTTTCAAACTACTTACAGTAAAAACAGCATTAAAAATCTAACTATGCTCCAGTATTAAACCACAGATTACTCTTTAAATCACTTTCTTGAAGAAAAAATACTGCCGGAATTCGATATTGAAAAACGTATAATTTATTTGCATTACGGGGTTGTGAAGATTGTTAAGTTACACATTTTTGAAACCATGAATCGATCAATGTTAGACCACCATTAGAAACCTGGAAGCCCTGGACGGCCGTTTCGTCCTTGTATAGGACTCCTCAGCACTGCTGATTAGATTATGCGTTTTGACAAAAGAAATTATTGCATAAAATTAATCAAGAAATTGCTGTTCTGGTAAATCGAATCACTACCAATAAGTTATATTTACTGATGGTCTTTAATGAATGTGGATGTCATTTACAACTAAAAAATAAAACAGAACCGTTTGCACGATTATATATATTTTCTTTAGTGATGCTAATTACGTATAATATTTATTTACTAACTCGTATTTGACTTATGATTGATGCTGAAGTAAAATCGGTGTGAAGAGATAGCATGGCAAATAATAAACTTAAATGTATCCGTGTGTGTTGTTAGATAACTTCTACTATGATGAAAGGTAGTTCAGTTTTTTTTATCAATCAACTGTTAAGGCGAAATATTGTTCGTGTTTCCGATCAACATAACCAGAAAAGATATCGAAAAGCAAGACTCAGTGAATTGGTAATTTGTTTCTGTTTGTAAGTTGTCAATATATCCAAAAATGAAAGTACCTGATTTTGAATTATGGTGTATTCCTAGTATGCATTCTTTGTAGACTAATTTCTGACAAACTGAACTGAAGGCATTCATTTTATATCCAAAAAAAATACAGATACCTACATTGATAATTACCTTTTGTTCAGTATTCCTATTTATTCTGTCGATTTTATTCGTGATGTCTTGTTTTATCAGTGAAGCCGCAATCTCTACCAAACGATGAACCCAAACGATTCAGTCCTAGTACCAGTTTCTGTCTAAAAAGTCCTCTAATGAGAGCTTCAATAGATTAGATGGTTGAAAAAAGATTTATTCAAAAGCGCTGGATCAACATTAGTGTTCAAGTATTAACCAACAATATCTACTATGCTATGCTAGTGGGTGCTCTGTGTGTTATTTGAATCTGTGTCACTCAGCATCACAGTGAAAGAGATTGCCATATAGCTTTCTGATTCTATTGGTATTAATACATCGTCTTTAAAACTCTAAAACCTGGTGTTGTGCATCGCGATTTAGTTTATGGTATTTCACACACAACATGATACCATACAATGTACTCAATACAATTACAATTTACAAGAAGATATGTAACTTTCTTATGCCAGGTGAAAATGCATATTATGTTTATAAAATTTTCAATACCAGTTTACGAATCCTGCGGGGTGAAGAAGTCGTGGATGCACACTGCTGATGAGTCCCATGCAAGGATGAAACGGCCGTCCAGTGTTTCCAGTTTTCTAATGGTGGTCTAACATTGATCGATTCATGGTTTCAAAAATGTGTAACTTAACAATCTTCACAACCCCGTAATGCAAATTACCTGGGCTCACAAGTGACTAGATTCGTGAGGAATCTTATCCGAGTTCTAGTGGGAAGACGTGACCAGTGAAGTTCAATCTTTTCGGGTATAGGCATTGCCTACCGAAGACTGTGTATGAGTTTGTGCAACTCCGTGAATTTGATCAAGTTAGACAATAACACATTTCTGAACCGGCTCGGTGGTCTAACGGTTGGGGCGTTCGCGCACAGTACCGAAGGTACTGTGGATGCGCACTGCTGAGGAGTCCCATACCAGGACGAAACGGCCGTCCGGTGCGTCCAGGTTCCTAATGGTAGTCTAACATTGATCGATTCATGGTTTAGAAAATGTATGGTTTATTACTGCTAATTGAATAATTTCTTATTTTTGTGACTTGATTTGAAAAAAACCCAGTGATTTTTTGATTATTTGATATACTGATTAAATGTTCGAAACCTCAGTTGATTGATCAAGTGATGGATGTTTTATCAATTAAGAAATGATGGCGTCATTTGAACTGAACAGCCGGTTAGCGAGTAAGTGTTGTTTTTCATTTTTAAAACAATCTTTTTAACGTAATTTGTTTGTTTCAGTGAGTCATTTCATTCGATGTTCAATCTCACAATCGAGAGGTACCAGTGAAGCATACTTATGATGGGCGATTTACATTCAACTGATATACCTATCAATGAAAAACTGGTTTATGCTTAGAGCATTTTATTGGTTAAATACTAAACTATTGTCCTCTAGCCAGTTGCAAAAGAAAAACGTATTTGAATGACAACGTAGAAAGCTTCTAAAATAGAGTTAACATGAGTAGAAACGGGGTCGTGATCAAATATAACTTTCTCAGAGAGATAGCACAGGAAATTAATGATTGCAAATGTTGGAGATGAAGATAGACAAAACACCTTTGCGGAATCAATGTTAATTAAGATGCTTTACAAAGAGCCTCAAGTGCAAGTTTCAAAACAGAACTAATATATTTATGTGTGAGTGTGTGAAAGATCTTTAATGCAAACGTTGGTTTTTAAAGTGAGATAGCTGTAACTATCGATCACCCTTCCTCTTTCATTCTATCATGATCTAATCTCTAACTGATTTAATTCTAAATTCATGTTCTTTTTAATTATATCTCAACTCATTTCAAAAAAATTTATCTTATATTATTTCATAGTCATTTCTTCATAACTAATAATCTACTGATTTTTTATCACATTCATGATGAATATTAAAGATTTTAAACTACTGTGTTTTTATTTTTTAAAAAAATCTCCTAATGCTTTTGTTTATTCTGTTCTTGATTTATGTTCTGTAATTTCGTTACAAAGAAGCATTTTCTTAGTTTATCTTGTGGAAAATTGTATATTTACGATTAAACAGTCCAAGAAAGTAATTCACCACAAAAAAAGTCGGTTCACTGACACAAATCTTTTATGTATTATTATAAATAATACTTGTCGGATCGTATAAGTAATTAGATCCAGGCCTAAAATTACCTGAAATTGTCAATAAGGATTTAATTCACAGTCAAAACTTCCGCTAAAGTGAAGAAATATTTTTTTTGTCATGTGGAGATATAGATCATCTTATTTTTTTCTTTCTAACACACACTTAAAATTTAATACTGACCGTATTTTCAGTGGGATATAGGTCTTTTGTCAATAGTTAAGTACTATAAATTAACAGTTACGTTTGTCTTTGAATTCATGAAGTGGTACGAAATGCATATGAACTTACGCAATGTTTCTAATGATGATAGTGAATTTAGATAATGTTTTGTACTTTGTACTGAAATCAATACAAACCTCAAAATCGGCCAGTATTATCAGTTACCTTTGATATTTATGTTTGTACTTTTATGCAAGCTACTAAGCGCTTAAACTTACTTGATCTGATACAGATTGGTCAACAATGACCACTTTGATGGATTAAACGAAAGCAGAGTTGGTTTTCTGATGCTATTTGGTTTAAACAATTTATTAAGACAGTTATTAAATAGTTGCGTGATAAACTAATAACCTATTCTATTGTGCCAAATAGCTTACAGTTATTTTGATAAACTAAATATTTCTCTTCATTTGGCCTCTTAACTTGTTGACTTGAAGGTATATTGTGTGTATAGTTATAGGACTTACTGATCAAATTCAATAAACACCGAAAATGTCAGCTAAGTTTCATTCATATTCAACTGTTTTCGTAACACTGATCATACTTCTAATGAATTCAGTATATGATCGAACATACGATTTCATTAACTAGCAATAAATAGACTTCTACTACTTCTACAGCTGAACAAGCAAGTAACTCTAATTTATATACAGTGATCGAGTTTCATCCAAACGACTACATATGACTTTACAACCTAAAGAAATTCTCAACTGTAAGTGTAAATTATTAACCATCTCTGTATTGATTCCTTTTGGGGACGTTAGATCTCCATAACTCACTTGATAATGGTGTAAATTTTTGATTTTATGGTTTCGAGCATGGTCTGATCAGTTGACTTTTAGATTACATTTGCCACCCGAGAAATCCTTGACTCTTATTGGTTGATGTTTATCTTAGTAAGCTATTTTTGGGGCTCTCCGAAGGACGTTCCTATAATGTATAAATAAACTAGACTGGTATGCTTGGAAAACCTCATATCTTCTGGATGATTGTAGAATACACTTTCTACGCCATATAAAGACGTCTTCTTCTACTTAGTAGGGCCTTGGGACACTCGGATTAGATTAGCCTATCGTGTCACTGGATCATTTGTCTTTGCTCTCGTTTACCGACCAGAGTGAACTCGTTAAAAAGATTCAAGCACATCAATTGACGAGCATAACAATTCACTTATGAAAAGTTAATTTTTCTGTCTGGAGAATGTGCAAGAATTTATAACCAACATTTGTTAGGCTAAATCGTAATTTTGACATTTTTGAAAATTACCTAGACGTTTGAAGAGTAAGTGACGTAATTATTTAAAACTTCTTGCTTCACAAATCTTATACCTGTCATTAAAATTAATGTTTTCGTCTCGAAAACTTACATTATCTATAATTTGTAGATATTTTCAATGCACAAATCTACATGATTAACTCTGTTTAAATTAAGGTAAAAAAAATATAACTAGTCAATCATTGAAAAAACAAAACGTACATTTTTCCTGTTTTCCAAATGTTCCCCATTGAATGGCACTTGACTTTTAGTTTTACTTAAAAAATCATCACTTTGGTCATCTGAATTGCTAACATCTAGTTTTTGATTGATCAATTTGAATTGTTGAATGTTTAATTCTAATTGCGACAATGGTAAATTGTTCAACTTATTACTATCAATATTAGTGTGGTTGTTGTAGTTGTTGTTGTTGAGTTTTTGACAATATGATTTATTCCGATTAGTGTGTAAGTTTCCATTTAAATAATTTCTCTCATTCAATGTTAACGGTGAATTCACTGAAGTCGTAGTTGTTTCTTTCAATGGATTCAAATGAGATGGAGGCTTCTTTTTTAAATATGGTGAAGTGATTCGTTCCGAATTGAAAATAGTATGAAATAAATGTGTCGGTCCGGTGTGTTCTTTTTTCATAAATATTGGAGAGCATGGAGCAGATTGTGTTTTGCATAAATGATCTTTTTTAATACGATTAATTGGTAAATTGAGAATAATTTTATTCAGTGCATTAGACTTTTCATGATTTGTATTATTTACGATAATTGAATTGGATGATTTGTTTGTTGATGATTTCTGTAGCGAAAAGAGTAATTAGAAAAAATAATTGGTACTGTGAAATGCTGGAAAGCGGAGTATCATGCATCGTTTCTGTCGGAAGTTAAACATATTCACTTTTCCACATAATTGAACTTGCAATAAATTCTTTCAAGTATCTTTTAGTGCTTTTCTAATAACTTCTTCAAACTCCGTCAACAGTCAGTAGAAGAAAGTTGTACATATATTGTGGTAATATACATTTTATTCCTTAAACTACGTTTTCGACCAATGGAATGTACTCCGTCTGCTAAGTGATTACTTCAAACATACACTGGTTCGATAAGTACTATTCAGTTACGCAAGTATAAATCAAGTTTGAAAAGGAAAATTCTTCTAGAATCTGACTGTTCAACTGACAGAACTCAGACTCTTTATGTCTAACTATTTCAGCATTTAACTTAAAATATTACGGTGGGAAAAAATTGGTTTAGTCCAGATAAAACTCCAACCGTTTGACATCGAAACATAATGAACGTGACGTCAGCTCACTTAATTTAGTAGCCACTCATTATTTAGAACTACAAAAACACGATATTTTGTCACTATTCAAAGTCACTGTATCAAGTGACCGTTTGATACAAGCTGTTAAATGAATTCACCACTAGTTACATACTTCCTTAATAAAAAATTTATTACACACTGAATCATGTCTAATAATCAAAAACAAACACTAGCATTTAGTTATACGAGCCGATGTCAGCCATTTCATTTAAATTTAGTTATGGTATTCTTGTCTGAAAAAATAAACTCGGCCAGAAATATAATCATTTTATTCTTCCCTGTAAACCAATATTCGTATAAGAAAAACATTTATTTTCAATACTATACTAAGGTAATGTCTCCGTGTTTGACCTTGAGAAATAAAAATTCATCATTAGATTTGATCACTGAACCTGATACACATCTTTGGTACATCTCTTATCCATTGAGGACAATCGACGTTCGACGTTCGAAGTGTATAATTTATTATTTCATTGTGTTATCTACTGACTGACATCTTACAACTGAAAAAAAATATGATTTCATCGTACAAAGTTATGTAATGAATTCGATTAATCCAAGCGAACAAAAATACTCTCATCTTATTAAATTCAAGTACATAGACCTTTGGACTGTTATAAAAGTGTTTAGCACTGTAAGATATTTTGTGACTTCTATGTTCCCCTGTAATCTCTATTAGTTTGATTGTGTTTTTTTTTCGAAAACTAACTGATATTCAGACTGTCAATACTACAAGCTTTATGTTCGAATAACATTCTATATTCTGGTGTTTAGTGAATCTTTTTTCTGAAAATTTTATTCATGTGAATATAATTATGGGGTTAGTTATTTGAGTTCTGTTTGAGTTCATTTTCCCAATTCAATGCATTATTCACCGAATACTAGTCATTTAGGATATATCTGCTAGTTGTTCGTTTTATCAGAAAATAAAAATTCAATGTAGACCTCCAAAACACAACCGTGTAGGCATGTAGCATGTTCACTCACTATCATGACATCTCATCGAAATATCTTTTATTCTAGTTTTAGATTAATCAAATACCTTAATAAAATTTATAGTGTCCGAATGAATCCTAATTTTAGAACATGTGAGACATAATCTAATAACAGTATTTGATTTTTTTGTTTAAAAAGAAACGATAAATACGATATCTGCATTATTTACTGAACTAACTGCAAATTAGAACCAAGTCCTATAACTCAACAATGTTAGCTTTACTTTAGTATACGGTAATACTTTGAACAGCACAAATTGTTTCTTCAATGTTTTAATCACGAATCAATAGGTAGGAAGCAAAAATTAACAGAGTAATTGCAATAGTAAGAATAATTACAAGAGTAATAAATACATCACGAAATAGAGAAGAGCGAAAATCTTTTTCGATTTTTTGAAATCAGTTCGTGATTTCGACAAACAGTGCTTAAATGTTTTGTTTACACTGTCTGTTACACTTCACCAGCTCTGAATTGCTAGAAATATATCTTAAACACAAGAAACATTGACGATGATTGTTTGTATAAGACATATCACAATTCACGGCTGTTAAAATAGTGATAGTAACAATCAGCATACTTTGAGCTGTTCTGCCTGACTGAGGCAAAACACATGAATACTGTTGAGAATTTATGAGCAATGAAGGTGTGTGACGAATAACTGCTAGAAGAAATGCTTCGATATTGGTGGTACAAAGATATATCATCACTCATCATCTAAGCAGATTTCACAACTAATGTACCTTTTTTCAGTCTCAAAATCAAAGCTAATATCATTATCAACATTTTATTTTCAACTTTCCTGACAAAATATCTCAATTGAAAATTTCTTGACAAGATAAAAAGAATTACTATTTGCTGTTTAAGTATTGAAAACATAACCCATAAGTATGTAAAGTCATGAGGAAAAGTATTTGATGAATAACCTTTTACTAGGTCATCTTAATCATTCTTCATTGTGATTTATGACTAATTTCATGTTTGACTACGAAACATTGATATAATCTATGGTCGTTAATAATATGTGGATGAACATGAATTCATTTTTAAAATTTTCATTTCATAAGGCTTTGTCATCCGTTTTATATAGAATATATAACAGAATAAAAGAGAATCTTAAATTTAAACTGAAATAAAATTTCCGATGTAAATATTACACACGCATAGTCATACAATCTAAGCGTCATAAAATGATTACAGTTACAATCCCATAATTGCTGTAAATAAGAAATTAGTTTGAGTGGAACGTTTCATTTTCACTTTAATGGGCAACTACAGAGACAACTGATGAGCCATTCTGAGATGGTGGAGAAAATTTGTAGCTCAGCCAGATGATTAGGGTGGAATTTTCATCTTTGAGCTAGTGGTTTTGGTTGTGGAGCTTTCAGTATTCTTTTGAACGACAACATCGGCACAATCTTCATGTAGAAGTGAAGTAGTCAAATTTATTCACGTATGGCTAGTCAATTGGCAAACAACAAACACATCGACATTGATTCGTCCACCAATCAAAAAACCACAGATAAACATAGAATCAGGAAACTGATCAAAGAAAGATACAATCAAAACAAAGATAAATCGACTGGTTAACGGCCAATAACAACCATTCCAGACTGAGCTCAACAAGATAAGCTTCAAGTCAAACGTCGAGAAATTAGAACACTTCACTTCTGTCTGAGAACGAAATTCCATCGTAATGAACCATTCTTTTTAAAGGTAAGTATATTATTTCAAACATGTTATTTTGTAAATTCATTTTCTACTAAAACCTTAATCTTTGGATTAAGTATTTCTCATGATCATAATGAATACTGTTGTCATGTTGATTGTTCCCTTATAATCCTTGCTAATTTCAGCCTTCTGTGAGGATCTGTTATTGCAACATAGATCGGTACATGTCCGCTTCAAGTCCAACACCGATTGTAAATGAATGAATGACTACAGATTCATGACCTGTTGAAATCGTAACAGTGTACGTAATTTGAATAACGAAGGAACTTAACTTATTTGTGTATCAATTACAATTTGCTCGTTTTTGTCATCTTATCTATACTATTTAAAATTAACTGACAGTTTCATATATATTTTCAATGTGTGCGTATGTTTAACTTTGCCTGTTGTTGTAATAACATTGCAGTACTATTTTTCTAATGTCAACTCCATGAATGAACAAAGAAAATAATTTTTCATTTTTATTGTATTTCAGTGTTTAGCTAGTTACTATTAGAATGTTCAGGTTGTGAATTTTTTTTTCTTTTCTTAGCTTACTTTAAATGTCATTGTCATTTGTTTAAAATTAGTTTACCCTTAATAATAGACACTTTGTACATGTATTGTAGTTTCATGCATGGAGGTCATTACGTTGATTTATAATAACTTGTGAAGACTGAATGACATTGAATACTTTTTTGGTTACATTGAAATTTATCAAAAATGAACTGATTACCCAATATAACTCCAATTCTGTATGTATGTATGTATGAATCTGATTACAATTTAAAAAAAAATAAAATCTTTGTAAGTAATCATTTCATACACATAGAAGGATAAAGAGATGTAATGAATTATTATGAACATCATGGAACTGGGAAGAAACTTCCCTAATTTACTTGATGTTGATACTAATGTTGTTTAATTTATGCTGAGGATAGTACTAAGGTCATCATATCAAAAACAAACCTTTCATCGAGTTGAATTCACTTTGAACAATGAGTGAGTGCATGACAGTTTGCCTTACATTCATAAAACGTACGATGAATAATGAACGCTTGAACATTGAAATCAACTCTTGAATAACACTGTTTACTATCAACCAACCCCACACTGTATATATTGAAACAAGGCAGAAATAATAATTAGTAGTGACGTTTGTATGCCTATGAGCTCGATGAATCATAGACAGAGTATGAAAAAAAACTAACCAAAAATACCATTTTAGCATTATCATTTGAATGATAATTAGTTAACATGGCATGAATGTAGAAAAATGCAAAACATTTATTGAATTTTAGTTTATTCACGAAATTCATTTTGTCTACAATGATTAGAGCACTCGTTTCTTTTTTTTCTTCATTTTTTTTGAATTTTCAATTTTAACGCAAAAAGAAAAACCCAGCCATTTATAGAATTAAAAAAACAAAACTTGTTGAACATTGAATCATTACTAACTATTATTGCTACCATTGAGTTGTAGGTTGATTGCCTAGATTGTTTCAACTAATTGGTCTTGTAAATTGACTTTTATTTATAGGAAAGAAAAAAAGGAAAGCGACATCACACTTAACATGGACAATTAGTGTGAGTGTAAATGCATCAAGCTAAACAAAAAAAAAGAAATGCAAACATGCTAATCTATTCATGTTTCGTTAGACAACAAAAACGCAGATAAATTCAGGGTATATGTACAATAATCGTGGTATATTTGATTAGATTAAGCATTTAGCCTTACCAATCAATATACATTATACTGATGCTGTTTCTTCAATTTGTAAACTAATTCCTGTATAGATTGATAGATTTGAAGTGCAATTCAAGAAAAACAGTATGAAGAACCGATCAACCAACTTGTTATATGATATAAATAGACTAATTAATTAGTACTGTTTGTATCACTGAATTGAATCCAAACCTTTGTGGTCATACTACTACTTAAATGATTAACTTAATTGTTAAAACATACACCCTTAGCCAAACCGTGTAACACAGTTATGCAATTGTACAATTCATTTGAGATTGTTTTCACTATTGTACGATTAGTAATTGAATACAAACACTGACTGAAGAAACTTTCTTAACTAGCCTTTTCAAATAAACTTTCATGTAATTGCTATTATTAATTTAAAAGCATGGAGGCTAACCTAGATTATTCCTATTCAATAGTAAACGTTTAACAACGTGAACAGAAATTTATCACTGCATAGAAATGTGCACTGCCGGAATCATATATATATATATACATATACATATATATATATATATATATATATATATACATATATATATATATATATATATATATATATATATATATATATATATAACCTAATATGATTGAAATCACGCGGAAACATACATCTACATCGTATGTTTTAATCCTCTTACTTGTCCTTGCTTTGTTGAAGTTATCAGATTAATATTAAAATTACGATGATGTAATCTATTACTTTTTCATTACAAAATAAATTATATCCCTTAAAAAGGCATGTAAATGTAAGGAATATTTGAATTCGATAAGAAAAAAACAAAAATATTCAGAAGAAGCTGATTAACATAATTTAACTTTTTTTAAAGCTGATTAAACAAAATCTAGCAATTAAAAAACGAGTTAAAGAAAGCCGATTACAATGATTGCATTGATAATGAAGAAACAGTCCGCTTACTGACTATGCAAGCAAGTTTACAATTGAAATAAATAAATAATTCTTCAATGAGATGTATAGCATTTAGACACAGCTATTGTTCTTTTCACTTGCAACGTTATGCTTAGTTGATCAATGCTTTGAAGTCTGGAAGCATGGAGTGAATGTCAAACTCTGTTAGCTTTGACAAGCCAGCAATTTCATAGGCAGAGAAACAATTATGACTTGACTATGGTCAGAATACGCTAATCCTATATGCATAAAGTAATGAACAATAAGTTCTGTATGTTAGCTCTTGGTTGCTAGTTTTGATGGCTTTTTTAACCTAGTTTCAAAGGCAAATTTTACTACCTAATATTATGGTAGATATCAAATACGTATATAGAATACAAATAGATGTAGTGAGAATTCTGTAGTTTGCTTAAAGTAACCACATAACTATTAAATTAAACTTAATAAATAAATAACTGCTAACATAGACTCTGAATAGTTAGTGCGAATTTTTCGAAATTCTTAAGCAAATAACTATTATCAGCATAAATAGACAACTTTACCAAAACCGTTCAAAACTAGAGAGCACTGAAATGTAGTTTTGTCTTTATTTAAATGTCAACACATCAGTGAACTCTCAAAACTCATGATCCCTTGTAAAACTTTATCAAAATCCAATATATTTAAGCTGAGTATATTGACTTTGTAAAATAATAATTTTGAAGCAATAACGACTATTTACTTAGGAGATTTATTTCGTTAAGGCTTAGTGTTACACAACCTAAAGTAGATGTTCCAGCAAGATGTCCGGTACAAAATGTACTTGAAGTTAAATGAAATTGTTAATTTTTTTTTGAAAATTTAAATAAACGTTTACACGACAACCAAATAAAATCTCAAAATACGTCAATTTTTATTTGATTTCATTCATGCATTATGTATAAGTACACTGAGACGATCTCCATACATACACACATCCCGTAATATATTATCTGCCCAAAAAATCAAATAAACTAAAACAAACAACTCTAGACTGTCCTAAATTTCAATAAAAATAAAGCCGAAATACATTCTTATCATTGTGACAAGAATTTCGCTACACATTTGACAGTAGAGATATATACATATATATCAACCTTATGTACAATACAAAATGTTATCCATATTCTAGAACACTTGCTTATTTTTTGTTTGATGTTTTTAAAATTAATTGTTTAAAGTCTGTACAGTATTGTGCATGTGTTTTAGTGCTAGATGATGTGTATGACAGGAGAAATGCATTGTTATTTTTACTAAAATGTTTAGGGTTTTTTTCTTTATTGTGTCGAGAAATGAGGAACTTTTTGTCATTTGGTCTTAATTAATCCGTGTTTCAGCGGATATTTCATCATAATTTTCAAGTTGAAGAGCCTTGAACAATTAGTCTTCTGAGCTATACCATTCATAATAAAAGTAACTACTTTCTTGTTTCTAATACAGCTTCATTGAACAAGTCATTTCAGATATCATGGCTGACTTCCAGACTTCATGTTATTGATGATATACAGTAAACGACTTGATTTCTTTGACAAATTGAGATAAAATACCCACTTAAGTACTCAATCAAATGTTCTTTTCTCATGAGATTAGCCATGGCGCAAAACCATGGCACTTTCTTCAAATTGTTTGCATACCTGAGGAAATAGAAATCATCAGACGGTATTCTTACGACGAACCACACTGCAAAGTCAAGCATGGAGAGCAGCCTATAGATTCATTCCAAGTGAAGATCACGTAAGGCTAATTTCTGGTCCGCCACGAAAGATAACAAGCATAAATGAGTCAGCTGGCAACGTATCTATTTGTTTTATTCTAGAAAACATGAAGCCTAACTTCTTCATAATGTCAGGCTTTGCACAAGTTACACTATCTCCTTATGGTGAATTATTGCTCTAGGTGGGCTACCATGAAACTTTTGGTGCATGTATTTCTGAAATGAATTAATGATTAAAAGCACCATTACTGAATAAATGTATCTGGTGGTCAAATTAAAATAATAATAAACACTAGATGGTTAGTTTAAATTCTTAAACAAGTAATGATGTCCAAAAGATTAAAATTAAAAAAAAAAGTATTTCAAGGTCATCGACTGAGTTAACGTACTTATGGAATGAAATTCAAATAAAGGATTTGATCACATCTATAAACAGCCGAATCCAACTGTTTAAACCATAAAGGTCAGAGATCAGACCTTTTTCAATCGAATTTTTAACCAATGTTTTCTGTCGTACAAGAACAATTAAGGTTATTGAACCGATCAACATAAACCAATTTAAAGCTTTTTCTTTCACCATAAGTTTTGGTTACTCGAAAATTCACATTGAATACAGCATTTAGAGATAAAATGCTATCTTTACAATCACAAGCTACATTTATGTTTTTCGAATATTCTATGGATCTGTGACATACAATGATTTAGAGGGAGGATATTAATCATTTTTGTTATCGATTAGTGGGTTATTAGTTCACATCGGTTTCCGATCATGATATCATAATTCACTTGGTTGTTTTGAATTATAAGTTAGTTCTAATCAAGACAAAATAACAACTTTTATATATTAGCTCATCGAATGAAAACATAGTTAGAATTTCTCACAAAAATAAAACTTAAAATTAAAAACAAGAAATGTTTACTCAAATTAAACAGCATTATGTTATAGATGAAGTTACACTGAATGAGCTTTAAAGTAGGAAACAGTTGCATATTTACACAGATATTCAGAATCCTATTTTAAGAAACTCATTGTGTTCACGCATCAAAACAGCATGCAAATGGTTACCACCAAATTTGTAAACAATATGACATTTCATCCGGTACTTGTGTTTCCTTTCGTTAGGGGGACAGTTTAAACTAAAAGCAAGTTTAGATAAATGAATGTTTGTTTGCTTTTTTTCTTAAAAAATGAAATAACAATAGTTACTTTATGTGTGCATTAAATTATTCATTATCCTAATCTCACATACTTAATCATTAAACTAAGACTGCATTATTTAGCCCTAGTTGCATGTTCTTTTGGTAACAAACAGGATTCCATGTTTTTTTTTAAAAAGAGACAATTTCAAAACATTATTCAGATTTATATTCAATGTCGAGTAGTTACATTGTCGAAACCTACATCCAATGTTATGCGTGATTTATGCTCTGCTTTTTTTTTCCACACAATCTACGTGTTCTTTTTCTGTGTGTGCACGTAATATTGGTTATAGGACAAGTCATGCTTGTAAACATTTTAAAATGGCTATTTACTTGTTTAAAACAAATTAAAGCACTGGAAATTTAATATTTTAAAAGTGAAGATAAATCAAATGGAAAACAAGTTCAAGGCATCGATTTTTGTGTATGGTTCCCATTTGTAAGCTAAAAAAAAATTCTAACTGTAACTGTTGACTAATAATGGGGATAAGTGTACTTGAACTGTTATTTATTGTCGCTTTTTTCCCATACAAATAATAAGTGTGAATTGTTTAGAATGACAGCAATTAACTGAATTTCAGGATACAAATTCCAATGTAGGTTTTAGGTTGTGTGCCTAGGTTTTTCAAATATTCTGTATATAATCAGTGGGCTAGATAACCTTGGGTGCAGGAAATTTCTAATTGTTTTGGCCATTTTACAAATTAATGAATAAAAGTCCTGCTTC